GAAACCAAACTTTTGTTTCATTTTCCAAAACATAATAAAAATAATAACTTCATCCTGCGCAAAGCGCAGGTCTTATCCTAGTTAGTAGTATTTCAAAAACTAGTAATTATTGTCAAGAATATTTTTGGATATCGAAAAATTATTTCTATTAATTAATAAAATATGCATTCAAAAATTATTTTATTTTCGAAACAACAAAAACCTAAAAGTTTATCATTTGGAAGTGGATGGACTATGCTAAGGTAATTGTTTTATATTTTATTAACTAAGAGCTCAGTTTTCTGTTACAAATATTTTTGAGGTGAGATTACAATTTGACCTTCTAATTATAAATGACTTGGCACAATTTCTATATAAAATGCCATGCTTGAAAACATTGTGTTATATGGATTTGCTAGTGTAAAAGAAATTGTTAGGCAGTTATTACACATTTTATATGAGATTATTGATTAGTTGGATGTTTATATCGATATTTTGAGTGTTGGTATAAAAAAATCGTTTTGTGTAAGTCTGGTCTATCGAATGGGTGGATGTCAGGTGACTAACGATATTTAGAACACTAGAATGTAGTCCTTAAATATGTGATTTGCTAGTTTTACCCATGACAAGTTTTTTAGGAAATCGTGTATAAACCAAATGCCATAATGAATGTCGAGGCCCTTTTACATTTTGATCAATGTAAATAATGGTTGGAGCCAACCTGAGATTATACATTTAACCTTTATCTTTGTTGATGGATTCTCTTAAATTTTAACTTGGACCAAATCGGTGGCCTTGAGGACTGTACTGATTACTATACTGTATTTACACGTTAGTGGCAAACACAGAGGAACGCGAATCAGGTATCAGTTTTTTAAAAAAAAAATCAGGTATCAACTTGCCCTACTTAAAATAAAACCGTACACAATCACAAGGCATGTCTCTTTTAATTCAAGAGCGAAGATTAATCATTTTGTTTTCTTTTTATCGAGTAAAGAGATTGGACATTTAACAATCAAGTTGCTTGATTATATTATAATTTTTTCAGAGTCCAAGACATAATCATAGCTAGACAACCTCCATCAATAGTTACTACCACCATGATTTATATATATGTATAAATATATGATTGAAATCTTGTGAATAAGAGACTAAATCTAACATGTTTAGTTGGAATTATATATATGTATAAATATATTATTGAAATCTTGTGAGTAAGAGGCTAAACCTAAAATGTTTAGTTGTAATTATATATATGTATAAATATATGATTGAAATCTTGTGAATAAGAGACTAAATCTAACATGTTTAGTTGGATTAATTACCACAACTCTCGCTAAGAAATCATGTACAAATGGTCATGGTAAGAAGCAATTCGAGATGGTGTCAATAAAAGTTGCCAGCAAAAACCTTAGTTAACAAGCTTACTGTTTTTTATTTTTTTGTTTGTCTCAGACAAAACTTAAAAGCAAAAGTGGAATTTGCGACAGTTTGATTCCCTTTCACTGTGAGGTTGAGTAGTCTTTTCTTCTGTTTTTGTTTGTTGAAAATCAAATCAGAAGCGTATATTATTATGATGAAAACAACGCATATGTTCATGATATTGTCTCTTCATTTGGCGATTACCGTAATTTCTCTTCATTTGGCGATTACCGTAATTAGTGTCGTCACGATAAAGTATATGTTCACAAACATCTTCTTACTAACATATTTTAGAACTATATAACGTACAGAATACTTAGGTTAAAAACGGATAAAATATGCATTTTTATAAGAAAACCGGTTTGTAAAATTCTGTCACAGATTAAAATTGTTTTTATTATAGGGTGAAACGAAAGATTTTGCCAAAAACACATAATAATCTTGGACCGATAGTGAGTAGTATAGCCTTTCTTGTTGTCTATAACAAGATGGTATTTTCTGTAAAATTAGGTTGTAATATTAAGCTGAAGATGTTGAGAATATGAAATTCCCCACTAGCACTAGCGGCCAACACTGTAAGAACTAACAGAAGTAGCACCACCATCCATCCACACATTGAATTTGTTTCCTTTAGCAAAAACAAATTTTCATCTTATAATTTTGTAACAACGAAAACACTGTAAATATTTTGTAATAATTAGGTAATAAGATTGCAGTAATTCACGTGAATCCCCAATAATTTTTCTCATGCACAAAGTGGGGTCTTAGTTTTTTTTTTGTGTGTGTTCTTTTGTTAGTTCTCGCCAGCACTTCTTCTTTTGTTCTCTTCACTACCTCCAAACTTCCCAAGAATCTCTCTATTCATTTCCTCTCTCTCTCTCTAATCTCTCACCTCTTGTTTTCCCTCTGCAAAGAGAATCCTCCTCAAGAAAATGTCGAAGAAAGCAACCTTTCTGCCGTTGAATCTTTCACTTGCTCCTTTCCTTCTTGTTCTTCTTTACCACCTTCTATGGTCAGTTTCTGTTAATGGCATCGAAGAGAAGAAGATTCTTAGTCTCCACAACAACATTTGGCGTCCCACTAAATCAATTGAAGCTCCAAGTTCATGTTTCTCTCACAATCTTGGTGAGTTTTTTTAATTCTCTTTTCCTCTCTTCAAACATTCACCAACCACAGAAAGATATGTAGATACTGTTTCTTTGCTTTAGTTTAATATTATTAATGGCGTGATTTAAGGGTTAGATTAGCAAAAGCCTCAACATTTGCTTAAAATATTTTAATTAAAGTCATTATTACCTACATTCCTTTTCTTAGCTCCCTTGTCTTTCAATTGGGATTAGTAATACTTTACAATTGTTTTTTTCTAAAGCTTTACTAATGTATTTATGGAATCTTGAGATTCTTTCCTCCATAGAAGCTAACTCTTCTAACATAAAATGTTTGTACCTTTTGCCTGTAACTCTGTTTTCTAAAATAGAGTGTTGGTATACTCTGTTTTTGATATCCCCTTGTTGACTATTTACTCTGTTTTTGTTTTGAAAACTTAGGAAAAGGAAGAGAATCATCCACTACACTGGAGATGAAACATAGAATGATTTGCTCAGGTAAGACTATAAATTGGGGTAAGAAGCTGAGAAGGGCCTTAACTCTTGACAACCTAAGAGTCCAATCCCTTCAACTAAGAATCAAAGCCATGAGCTCAAGCACCACAGAATCCATTTCAGAAGCTCAGATTCCACTAACCTCAGGGATAAAACTTGAGACTCTAAATTACATTGTCACAGTTAATCTAGGAGGGAAAAACATGAGTTTGATCGTTGACACTGGAAGTGACTTGACATGGGTCCAATGCCAACCTTGCAAGTCATGTTACAACCAACAAGGTCCTTTGTATGACCCATCAGTCTCATCTTCTTACAGGACAGTTTTCTGCAACTCTTCCACTTGTCAGGATCTTGTAGCAGCTACAGGCAATTCAGGTCTCTGTGGAGGCAACAGTGGTGTTGATAAAACAACTTGTGACTACGTTGTCAGCTATGGGGATGGATCATACACTCGTGGAGACTTGGGAAGTGAAAGTCTCCAACTCGGCGACACGAAGGTTGAAAACTTTGTCTTTGGTTGTGGTCGGAACAACAAAGGTTTGTTTGGAGGAACTTCTGGTCTAATGGGTTTAGGAAGAAGCTCAGTTTCTTTAGTCTCCCAAACTATGAAAAGTTTCAACGGTGTTTTCTCATACTGTTTACCTTCTTTTGAAGATGGAGCTTCAGGCTCACTATCTTTCGGTGATGACTCCTCTGTTTACAAGAACTCAACTTCAGTTTCCTACACTCCTTTAGTACAAAACCCTCAGCTTAGTTCCTTTTACATTCTTAACCTCACCGGTGCTAGCATTGGTGGTGTGGATCTTGAATCTCCAAGCTTTGGTAGAGGGATTCTAATTGACTCAGGAACGGTTATCACTAGGTTGCCACCTTCTATTTACAAAGCTGTGAAGACAGAGTTTCTAAAACAGTTTACTGGGTTTCCTTCAGCTCCAAGTTATTCAATCTTAGACACTTGCTTTAACCTCACAAGCTATGAAGATGTAAGCATACCAACTATCAAAATGATCTTCCAAGGTAACGCTGTGCTTGAAGTGGATGTCACTGGTGTGTTCTATTTTGTCAAGCCAGATGCATCTCTAGTCTGCTTGGCCTTGGCAAGTTTGTCATATGAAAATGAAGTTGGTATCATTGGAAACTACCAACAGAAAAACCAGAGAGTTATATATGATACCAAACAAGAGAAGCTTGGAATAGCTGGAGAAAACTGCAGTTTCTGATGACTACTTCCCAATGACTTGTATAATAAGCTTTGTGTGTTCACCCTCATATCATGAAAGCCAATCATCTCTTTTGGCAAAGTCTTTGAAAAAAACAATTATAAATATATTTTAAAAAAATTAAGGAAAGATCATCCTATTATAAAAGTAATCAAACGAATTACATATATATCTTTCCTCCTATTTACCAGATTGTGGATTGTTATTTTTGCTTAGCCTAGGGATGAATATCCACGAATCTTCAAAAATAATCATTTGCAACGACGCTTTCTAAATCACATTAGAAATGAATTATATTCTTGATTGTTATATATAGGCAGTTAGTTAACCATCAAGTAAACAACTTTCCAAAACAAATTCACGTTTTCAGTAAGATTATTCATTTTTAGTTCTCTATATATTTTTTGCTACGTGCATGACACTCGCTGGTTTAACTCCCCACCTTCCTCCTCCATGCAACATTGGGAATGCATGATATTGCCTTCTTCTTTCTTTCTTTCTTCTTCCCCAAGTTTCAAACCCTAGATCTTAGAAAAAATCAGACCCTTATTGACATTACCTGAAATCACCGTAAGTTTGAGAAATTAAACAACGAGAATTTTGGATCGTTTAACGAATTTTTTTCGTTAAAGATCTCTTTTCTTTATATGATTTTACAGTTTTGGAGTTTTATAGGTTTGGTTCGCACATATGTGATCAATTCTCCAAGAAAATGTACAAATCCCAATATATAGGAGGACAAAGAGAAAAGTTCGTAAGGTAAATGAGGAACAAAATCAAATAAATTGATCCTTCTTTCACGTTGTTTATTTCAGATCTATGAATGTTGTTATTAATATAACATCTTCCTTGCAGATTAGACGATACAGATTCTAGGGTATCAATGTCTTCTACTGCCACAGGAAAGAAACGATCATGTTTCGGATTGTTCAACCTAACTGGCCGAGGAGGAGGATCAAAGACCAAAAACACATCCAAATCCTTCAGGGAAGGCGTCAAGTTCGGATCTGAAGGACTAAAAACAATAGGAAAATCACTTACCTCAGGCGTGACGAGAGCTGTTTTCCCTGAAGATCTAAAAGTGTCAGAGAAGAAAATCTTTGATCCTCAAGACAGAACACTTTTGTTATGGAACAGACTGTTTGTTATCTCATGTATCCTCGCTGTCTCTGTTGATCCTCTCTTCTTCTATCTTCCCATTGTTGATAACTCAGGGAACTGCATTGGGATTGACTCTAAGTTAGCTGTGACAACTACCACTCTTAGAACGATCCTTGATGTTTTTTACCTTACAAGGATGGCTCTTCAGTTCCGTACCGCTTATATTGCTCCTTCTTCTCGTGTGTTTGGAAGAGGTGAGCTTGTGATTGATCCTGCAAAGATCGCTGAACGGTACTTGACCCGTTACTTCATTGTTGATTTCCTTGCAGTCCTTCCTCTGCCTCAGGTAATCAATTACAACTTAGACATTTAAAAGTCGGTTCTTAGTTTTTTTAGTTAAAACTTAAGATCGGTTTCTTATATTTCGCTAAGAACTCCACCTTAAGAACCCTCTTAGTTCTTGATAAGATCCGAACCTATGATCGACGAGTTTAAGTCTTGCCCAAGTCTTTTCTATTACCACCAGACTACTACTACTTGGTTCAATTTTTTTGTATTTTACTATCTACTAATGTTTCAGTTAATCTTTGTGTGTTACTAACTCAAAGATCATTGGATATGCATTGATTTATTGAACTGGTGATTAATTCTTGGTGTTATTCTTGCAGATTGCAGTGTGGAAGTTTCTTCATGGATCTAAAGGAACAGATGTGTTACCAACGAAACAGGCTATATTACACATAGTAATCACTCAGTACATACCAAGATTCGTTAGGTTTATTCCTTTAACCTCAGAGCTCAAGAAAACCGCAGGAGCTTTCGCTGAAGGTGCTTGGGCTGGTGCCGCTTATTATCTCCTCTGGTATATGCTTGCAAGCCACGTAAGCCTTCTAAAATTCATATCCATCAGCATTAGGTTGTTTTCTCCCCTCTGTTTCTAAAGAAGTTGTCATAATTTGGCAGATAACTGGCGCATTTTGGTACATGTTGTCAGTGGAACGTAATGATACATGCTTGAGATCCGCTTGTAAAGTCCAACCAGATCCAAAACTCTGTGTTAAGATTCTGTATTGTGGCAGCAAGTTTATGAGCAACCGTGACACCGAGTGGACCAAATCCATACCTGATCTTTTCAAGATCAACTGCTCTGCAAAAGCAGATGATTCTAAATTCAACTATGGGATCTATAGCCAGGCTGTCTCTTCTGGCATTGTCTCGTCCACAACGTTTTTCTCTAAGTTTTGCTATTGTCTTTGGTGGGGTCTTCAAAATCTCAGGTAAAAAAACATTGAAATAAACAAATAACTGCTAACTTGTGGTGGAATAAAACATATTGAGTGTTTTCTTGTGTAGCACGTTAGGTCAAGGGTTGCAAACAAGTACATATCCAGGAGAAGTTCTGTTTTCAATAGCAATTGCTGTGGCCGGGCTTCTCCTGTTTGCACTTCTCATAGGGAACATGCAGACTTATCTTCAGTCACTTACGGTTCGTCTAGAGGAGATGAGGATCAAAAGACGAGATTCAGAACAGTGGATGCACCATAGGTCACTTCCACAGAACCTGAGAGAACGAGTCAGACGCTATGATCAATACAAATGGTTAGAGACAAGAGGAGTCGACGAGGAAAACATTGTCCAGAGTTTACCTAAAGATCTCAGAAGAGACATCAAACGTCACCTCTGTCTTAATCTAGTTCGCAGGGTATGTTCTACTAGAAAAATGAGAATGCTACATATTCTTTACTTGATTCACAAGTAACAATGTGTTTTCTGTTTTTTACAGGTTCCTCTGTTTGCTAATATGGATGAGAGGTTACTAGACGCGATCTGTGAGAGACTAAAGCCGAGTCTATACACGGAGAGCACTCACATAGTGAGAGAAGGAGATCCGGTTAACGAGATGCTATTCATAATCAGAGGCCGGTTAGAGAGTGTAACCACAGATGGTGGAAGAAGCGGTTTCTTCAACAGAGGGTTACTGAAAGAAGGTGACTTCTGTGGTGAAGAGCTTCTGACTTGGGCGCTTGACCCTAAAGCAGGCTCAAACCTACCTTCTTCCACAAGAACAGTGAAGGCTCTAACTGAAGTAGAGGCTTTTGCCTTAGAAGCTGAAGAGCTCAAGTTTGTGGCAAGTCAGTTTAGGCGTCTTCATAGTCGTCAGGTTCAACAGACTTTCAGGTTTTACTCTCAGCAATGGAGGACTTGGGCTTCTTGCTTTATCCAAGCCGCGTGGCGTCGGCATTTGAGAAGGAAAAATGCAGAGCTTAGACGTATAGAAGAAGAAGAAGAGATGGGTTATGAAGATGGTTACGATTATGATGATGATGATAATATGGGTATGGTTACAAGAAGTGATAGTTCTGTTGGGTCAAGTTCTACACTGCGTTCCACGTTATTGGCATCAAGATTTGCTGCTAACGCGCTTAAGGGTCATAAGCTAAGAGTATCTGAGAGTTCAAAGAGTTTGATGAATCTGCAAAAGCCACCAGAACCTGATTTTGGTGATCTTGATCCTGAGTAATTAAGTTAAGTATGTTTACTTAATACCTAAAACTTCAGAACAGAGTGCTAACTGTAAAGAGTCAGATAAAGTTTCTTTATTTTTCTGTTTATATCAACATTTATGAACAAGAAAGTTAAATACTTATGTTATCCACCATCTACTTGGTAAGAGTATCACCAAAAGACACTTTATAAGTTAAATATGAAGTTTTTGGTTCTTTAAAAAAAAATTCTAAAACTTCAAATTTGAAATTATGAATAGTGAAACTTCAAATATAAAGTGTCATTACTCAAAAATTTAAATTTGAAGTTTCATATTTTATTTGCATTTTGGTCTTTACAATCACTCATCATATTTATAATTCTTAAATATTTTGTCGTTTATTGTTTTAATCCTTAAAAAAATTTATCTCATAAATATTTCAAAATTATTTTTATAAATTTTAATTTTACATAACTTTTTTTTTTAAAAAGCATCAAGATAAGGTTTAAAATATTTTAAAACTAGAACAATATAACAACAATATTACAAGACTTAATGTAGTATTTTTTTATAGTGTAATATTTTATATTTTAGTGTAATATTTTATTCATTAATATTGATGTAGTATTTTTAGATATATGATAGTTATTTATAAAAAATCTATGATTTGAATTAGTTATTGCAAATATAAGAACCATAATATAAAATACAAATAATTTTAAAACTAAATTTGTAATTTTGCTTTTGGAACATAACACCTTCAAACTTCAAATTAGAGTATTGCAAACTCTAAAACAGAATTCCCTTTTGAAGATGCTCTATCTTTGAGAGTTTGTAATACCTGATTTTGATGTTCTTGATACAAAGGAATTGTCTAGTATTGGGCGAGATGTGACAATGTATTGGGCAAAGAGATATTGAGGCCCGTTGATATTCCCAATATCATTTGTTCAAACTCAGGCTTTCTCAGGGAAATCAGCAAAAACACAGAGATGAGCTAAAAGGATCGTTTTGGTACCACGTGCATCTAAAACACCTTTTACTAAGATCAATGTCTACATATTTTTTTTTTTTCTAGAGCTAATTAGCTTAAAAACAAAGAAAGATAGTAATATTAGTAGAATGCCAAAAACAGTGAAAAGTGATATATTGCTGTAGTGTCAGAATGAATAAAATTACCTTCATGACCTTTGCGAAAGTTTCTTGTGATTTACTATTATAGGTTATTAGGTAGCATGAGAATCTATTAAAGATTTTGTGAAGATTTTGTCGGAACAAATCCAGCCATATAATATATTTATCTCTCTCATTATCGTTGGGTTGCTGGTTTTCCATCTTCACCTTCATCTTCTGTTTCTTTTTCTTATTTTGCCAATGAATCTAAACAAAATCAAAGAAGATATGTGTTAGACAAATTCATGAGCTCATTAGTTTATCTATTTTTTTCTCTGATTTTTTCCTCTATAATCATTTAATTATATCCAACCACTCATTGCCACAATTCCAGACAGAAGCGCTTCTACAAGTTTGTAAGCTCAGAGTTACCACCTCCGCATCAATACCAAGAAAACTCAGCCGGTGTCTTGAACATGAACACATAAGTAAGCTGGTGAAGAATATAAGAGGTCAACCAAAGAAATACAGATATGAAAGTGCAAAACATCACTGAGTTTTGTACATGGACATCCTTCTTTCACCATTAGCCATCCTAGTGGAGAAGGTGGTGGCTCCGACGGAGAGATAACCATACTAAGTTTCGGTTACAAAATCACTAACCTGGTTAAGTTTATTTTTGGGTTGATAATATTTTTTGTAACCGATGAGGGTACTTTCATGAAACTGGATATAATTGTTTTCTTTCCTTTTTGACTTGTTAAACTTTATTGTAATCAATGATGTAATATATTATCATGAATGCAATTGTCTTTTTGTCAACAACTTGATAAGCATACTACTATTGTTTATGTATGTATAGTAGTTGGAAATGCTAATTTTTGACAGCTAATATAATATATACACGGTTAGACAATGAGTTATATAGGCTAAAAACTAATTGGTTGATAATGTTAATTTGTTAGATTTTTGATATAATATTTACATGGTTAACAAATAAATTTTATGGAAATGTTATTTTTTTGACAACTAATATAATATATATCCGGTTAGATAATGAGCTATATGTGCTAAAAACTAATTTGCTGGTACTGTCAATTTATTAGATAGTTGATATAATATTTAAATGGTTTACAAATAAGTTATTTGGGATAAAACTTGTATGAATTTTTTACATCACATTCTTAGATTACCATAAGAATCAAGATCATAACCATAATATATGAAATGAAAATACAAATAATGTTTTGATGTATGTATTTGTTGGTACATATCAAAATTTTAGACAGTTAATATTACACTTAAACCTTTGTAGTTAGCATGAAGATTTATTAAAAAAATTATGAAAATTTTGTCAGAAAAAATCTAACCATATTAAAGATGGTCTGAGATCTGAAAATAGAGAATATTAATTGAAAAGAACAAATTGTAAAGGTTCATACGATTATGAAAGTGCATTTGGAGGAGAGAGAGAAAGGTTAAAAATTATAATTTTTATAAAAAAATACATAAAACAAATAATGAGAATTAATGTGATGTTAGATGAAGATCTTTAGCAAAATTTGGTCTATAGAGATGAATATAGCTCAGAACGTTAATATAGGGGTAATAGAGTAATAAAAAATGTCGAACAGTAACATAACAGTACATTTTGGTATATAGCTAATTATGCATAAGTTCTTTGGTATAGAAGCTAATTTCTCTTTTTTCTACTCTTTTATTCTCAGCTTGTGCTATCTTTTTGTACTCAATATTGATTTTACAGTTCCCATGGATAATGCAGCTAGAGCTTATACATTTTTTTTTCTACGGAATTGTTTGTTGAAACAACTATGACATCAGTTTGCCCTATATGCCAACAAAAGTAATGATATTAAAACATTAGTCTTTGGACTAACTTAACATTTGTCTTGGCATGGATTAGTTAATAGTACAAGAAGACAAGAGTGAGAAGACATTCCTGACCTACGCTAAGTTCTGTAGAGTAGTAATCATTAAGCAAGAAAATATACTTATTTTCCGGGTCGGGTCGGGTCGGATCCTACTCCTAATAACTAGAACCAAACGATGACGTTTTAAAAGTAAGACTGGCTAACGACAACTTCACTTCCTTCCTACTCTTTCTCACTCACTCTCTCCTCCTTAAATATCGATTCCTTTCGTCTCAATCGGGAAAATCATCATCTCCTTTAGGGTTCTTCCAAGTTAAAAAAAAAAAGAAAGATATTTTTTTTTCTCGTCAAAGTTCCAAAGATCTTTCTTTTGTTTTACTTTTTTTTTAGTATGTAAGAGAAAGCTTACTCATTCCCGTGTGAGCAACTTGGCCTCGCCTTTCGATTTCGCTACAACATTTCTCAACAATGTGTAAAGCTTCGTACTTTGCTCTCTTAGGGTTTATTGGTTTGTGATTCAGGAGAAAAAAGTCGGAGACTTTAGGGTCAATGTCGGCTCCACAGCGAGTGGATTCCGCTGACCGAGAATTACGGTCAGTTCTCTGTCCCGCCGGTAACAAGCTACAGAGGAAACCGGTGAAGAAGCATCTCTCTGATGACACGAAAGGTGTAGCCTTTACGGCGACGCAATGCTCGATTCTGAGGCGAAACGGTGTCTCCATGAACGCATCGTATTCCTCTGAGGCGTCTTCTTCGTGCGAGTCGTCGCCGTTGAGTATTGCGTCTTCTTCTAGCGGGAAGAGGGCTTTGCGGCGTAACGGGTCAAACTCTTCATCTTCGCTGAGAAGGAACCAGGCGGAGGAGAGAGATGAAAAGTCTGGTGATTGCTTCTCTGATGGCCGTAGAAGATGTGCTTGGATCACTCCCAAATCTGGTAATAAACCCTTTCTCGATGGGAGTGCCAGTGTCCTTGAAATGATTCTGAGTTTGAAGTAGTTTAGAAGATTTATATTCAGTCTCTTGGTGTTGACTTTGGAAGTTAGTATATAAATGTATAGCTCAATTCTTGAGTATTGGTTTGTGTTCAGACATATCTCTATTGAACAACGACCACAGAGATATAGAGACTAGTTTACTTGTCATATCTCAACACTGATGGGCTTATGTCTTAACTTTATCTCGCCTTGGATCTAAACCCTTTCTCAATGGAAGTGTCAGTGTCCTTAAAATGATTCTGAGTTTGAGTAGTTTAGAAGATTTGTATTCAGTCTCTTGGTGTTGACTTTGGAAGTATTGCTTTGTGCCCAGACATATCTTTATTGAACAACGACCACAGAGATATAGAGACTAGTTTATTTGTCTCTTCTTTACACTGATTGGCTTAGGCCTTAACTCTATCTCGGTTTGAATCTTTCCTCTGCTATGATTTTGATTGATGATTTTGTTTATTTGTTTTCATGTTAATAGACGAATGTTACATTGCTTTCCACGATGAAGAGTGGGGAGTTCCTGTCCATGATGACAAGTACGTCTCCATCTCTCTCTCTCTCTCTTTTGCTTAGCCTGAGAGATGATGTTTGTGGGTTGTTAAACCCTCTTATTCGGTTTGCAGGAAACTTTTCGAGTTGTTAAGCCTTTCTGGTGCTCTAGCTGAACTATCCTGGAAAGACATCCTTTCCAAAAGACAATTATTCAGGTAACTAGAACCACCATAGTCTTTATGGTAAACATTATCATCTTCTTATGAGCCCGAATCTCTAAAGTGCTTTTTGCTTTGTTTAAACAGGGAAGTGTTCATGGACTTTGATCCTATTGCTATATCTGAACTAACTAACAAAAAGATAACATCCCCTGAGATTGCTACCACCTCATTACTATCAGACCAGAAGCTACGGTCCATCCTCGAGAACGCAAACCAAGTTCGCAAGGTAACTTAATATCTATAAACCTCACCATAGTTTGTAATTGTGTGTTATTGACTGTGATTGATTTTTCACCGATTCAGATAATAGTTGAGTTTGGATCGTTTGATAAGTACATTTGGAACTTCGTTAACCAAAAGCCTACTCAGAGTCAGTTCCGGTACCAACGCCAAGTCCCTGTGAAGACATCCAAAGCCGAGTTGATAAGTAAAGACCTTGTCCGCAGAGGCTTTAGAAGTGTTAGTCCAACGGTTATCTACTCGTTCATGCAATCAGCTGGTCTCACTAACGACCATCTCACTAGCTGCTTCAGACATCACCACTGCATAACGAAAGAGGAAGCCTGTAACTAATGGAAACCCAAAAGACAAGAATAGTTTTAACATTGTGCTGCTTAATTTGTTTTGTTATGTGTTTGCATTTGTACAGATGTGTTTATTGTCAAACTAGGAGTAGTTTCTTGATTATGTGAGATTGCTTTGAAAACTATTACGTGTTACATATAATGTATTCTACTCTCTTTTGCCTCATCTGCCAAATTCAAATCTAAAAACACTAACAAATTTTGAAACTATAAACTATTTTTCGTTCTGATTCTGTTGATACAATCTCCCTGTAACAGCTGCTGCTAATGCTGCTGTGAAGTTAGGATCTTTTGTTAAGGAAGAAGCCATTTGCTCCACCAAAAGTTTCTGAACTTCTGGAAAATCCATTCTTGATGGGCTAGTGACTTTCTTGGATTCAGTCAAATCAACGTTAGTCACAGGCTCAGCCAAACTTATACTTCCGTTGGCTGCAGGTGCAGCGTGACCACCAAGAGAGATGTAGCGGTTTAAGCCATTGTTTGGATCGATCAGAGACGGCATTGGATGGTTATGTTCACCCTCATAAGTCGCTACCAACACAGACTGATCCTCCACACTTCTCTGAACCTGAAGACAATCAGAATCAGGTTAATATATATGTCTAACGAGCAAACCTATTTGATTATTATCTTAATCTTGATTATTAGTACCTTCTTTTTGACACAACAGCTTGGAGCACAAGCACATTTGAAGTAAGCTCTTGGAGACGGATTGTCTCTAGTCACTTTCTGCCCATACTTCCTCCATTGATACCCATCTTTCACTACCTATAAGAACACAACTTCTTAAAATCAATAAAAGCCATATAAACTAAAGTTTCTAAAATATATTTATTACTAGCTAGTATTTATAAAAGCTTACAAGGGTAGTGTCAGAAGCTTCGGTCTTGTAATAAACCCTTGTGACTTTCTCCTTTAAAACAGTCTCTTCTCTCTGCTTCTTCTTGCACAGATACTGATCATCTTGATCCGTAGAGCTACTCTCCGACACTCCACCGATGACCGCAGAGCTAACTGCGTCGTCTCTGGCTGGGGATTTGCGTTTCTTGGGAGGACTGGTTTGGTCTCCCTCGGTCTTGTTAACATATTCCATAAGCTGTTTCCTCAAGACGTTGTAGTTGTCACACATCAAAGTTAGCATCTCCGAGAGCTTCTTGTTCTCAGCACTCACTCGGTTTAATTCATCCACCAAAGCACTTGTCTACAATTAATCAATATTTAATATATATATATTGCATGAAGTTAGTAATCAGATGTTTTAACATATAAGTATTAGCTTTATAATACGACCTAAAATTTGTTGTTACAATCTAATTTACTCAACATATGAATTATGAATTAGTAACAAACTTTGTTAAAAATACTAGCAAATTTTTTTAATCCTTTTGAAATTCATAAATGTTTAAATCAAGTCTATCTAAAATTCTTCACCTACTATACGAAATTAAATAACAATTATTCATGGTCATCTAACAAAGATATAAATTCATACTTTAGGATCTATTTGAATGCTTACAAAAAAAATCTATCCTTAGACTACATTTTCTTTTGGAGATTAGTCTTGCTCGCTCCATAAATCTGAGATACCCGGGTTAAGTAAAAAAAATGTCTATCTAAAATTCTTTGTTTGCAATGCACAATATATGGTATGTGCGTACGTATGTAATTTACATATGCAAATCTGTAGATATTTGCGATCGCGTATAAAAAATAATATGCGTGTGTTTTTTTCCAACATATACGTGTGTTCATAATAAAGAAATACTAATAATTTCTATAGATGTGTTATTGAAACTTTAGAGGATGTAACGGATCAAGAATAGGAGGTAGAAGCATACCGTGGAATCTTCTTCAACTCGCATACGAGTAACACCAATACTGAGATCTAAAGAAGTATCGATGTTAGACGATGAATACTGGTCCATGGATGTATATATCTACGATGAATCTGCTTGGATCTTGATTCTTTTGGGTATGTGTATATGTGTGAGAGTTCCTTAAGCTCGGATTGTGGAAGACGGAATGATTTTTGATTCTATATATAAAGAGGAAACTAGATGGAAAAAGAGACGTGAGTAGCATGTGCTCTTTTCATTTTCATGCAATAAACTAATGGACATCCTGATCAGTTAAGACTCTCTACTCGTCTCTCTCGGGTCCACACTCGCACATATTTCAATCCTTATTATGATTTTATTTACTAAATTGACAAATATCTAGTAATTAAGTTCTTGATTTCTATCTTATATTTTAGCTGACATTCTTTTAATCTAACAATTACAAGTGATTTCCACGTTTCCTTACTCCTTGGGGGCATCAACAAAGATGTAAAATTTAAAACTTTGATTAGTTTAATAAAATAAACGAATAGAGAAATGATCAAGCAAACCTATGCTATAATATAGTAGCATGTGATTTTCTTAACCCAAGAAACGAGTAGTGAAGAGTCCTCGAACGAGCATCATGATCCGAGCACCTTATTTTGTTGTGTTTATTATTATTATTTTTTATGTTTGCATAAATTTTTTTTTAAAAAAATTAAACTCAGATCGCCGTGTATCCGTGGAACCCGCAAACAATACAAGTAAAAAAAAAAATACGATACTTATTTAGCATTTAGAAAAGTCCGATGTTTATGTTTTTAGTGGGCCTCAAGTCATAAACACCTCTTTTTATAAAAGATAAAAATGCTCTTAAGTAAAGCATGATTCAAAACATGATGTATTAATTTATTACTCCCTCTGTTTTTTTAAATAACGATTTAAAGTTTTTAAAAAAAAATTATTTGACATTTCCAGAAAACAATGCAAAATATAATGAAATTGACTTTGTTTACCCTTTCATTATTCTCTTAAATTGGAATATCTCTACTGCATTTGTCTTACGAGAGATGATAATTAATTGATTGAGAAAGGTCTAAAAGATATTGTATTAGGTGCCTTAATCTGTGTGAAAATCACACAACAACATCTAAATAATTCAAAAAACAAGTTCTCAGTAATTCAAAGGAGAAAGGACAAGAGGTTTGAAGATGGATTGCAATTCTGGTTCTCGACCAGATAAAGAACTTTGGAGGATGAATGGGTTTTAAAGTTTGATTTTTCATGTTTTTTGAGAAATTTATAGTTTTATAAAAATGGACACACATAGTTGTAATCAGGTTTTTCTTTTTTTGAATTAAATTTAACATTTATTTCACAAAAAAATCACACAACGACATCTAAAAGAAAACAGAGGGAGTATTATGTTAATTTGTCATGGAGTTTAACTAATAGATCTAAACATAAGACAATTAATACTCCCTTATACTCCCTCTGTTTCAATATAAGTGTCACTCTACAGCTATGCACACGGATTAAGGAAACAATTAATTTTACATATTTCCTATGTAAAAACACAATTACCCATACACCTAACCATATTTTAACCAATAGAAAAGCAAATTACATAATAAAATTAATAAATTTTACATTGAAAACCAAAAACGACACTTATTTTGTAACACAAAAAATTCTCTACAATGACACTTAATATAAAACGGAGGGAGTAATACCCTATAATAAATGTATTTTATCTAATTAAATACATAAGTAATGATTGCGCACAAAAGACCAAATAAATGATTAGCTGTTGGTTTATTATACTGATATGTATGGCGTGTTTAATTAGAAAGTTTAATATTCTATATAAGAATTAATTGTTTGTGGTCGACGAAAATAATGATTTGTACAATGTATATAGAAATAGTATAATAGAGTGTGCGGAACGTGGTTTATATGTTTCTAATGCGAGTCACTATTATTGGTATTTAATTATGCAAACGTGTGCTTTGTGCAGTTGTTCGGTCAAAGTCAAGCCGACACGTTTTGTCAAAAAACATATATTGACCTAAAGCATATCCACTCTCTGAAATAGAAACTTGACTGGTCTAGAGATGGAAATGGAATCATCACGTATCCATCATTTTGGACTTTCTCTTGTATTACAATATAATATTCTTTATTCCATTCACATCTCTTTCCAAGACCAAGTTTTCTTTTTAAGACTACACAATTTAGTAAATTTTACATTTTTAGGGTTCCTGAAATTTTAAGGCTATAGACAATTTAATAAAGATTAATATAAAAATTTAAATAAATTTTTGAATCTATATGTATAAAAACAAAAACAAGTTTTAGAGATATGCGTTAATGCTTTACTAATATATGTTCAGGACCCGACCATGTTCTTTCGACATACAAATAAACTAGGTGATAATCCGCACATATGCACATAGTGAAATTTATATATTAATAATTCTTGAATATTAATTTTGATTATTCAACCATCATGTTATAACTTTGACCGTTAATAAAAAGTTGATGATTAGGGTAATGTTTGTTGATATTTTTGATGTTTTTTTTAAAAACCTATTTACATTGAGCTTTATTAGTATCATCTGGATGTTAAAATTCACCATTTCATTTTAATATGAAAAATTGTATTTTTGAAATAACAAATAACTTTTGAAAACCACGCTTGCGCAGAATGAACATTAATTATGTATACAAATCATTTATACATAGTATTACTTATTTTATGTTCATTTACGTATTATACAGTAAAGTATATTGAATAATTGAGAAGCGAGTAATTATTACGTATATAGTTAAACTGGAGTAAACATATAATAAAAACCATCCCTCTTTGTATTTACAATATTGTTTTGTTGGTAAAAAAATAAAAATAATTAATTATTTATTTTATATGGTATATAATTAAAATTAAATGATATTAACAAAATTATATAATATATTTAATATGAATATTTTTAATAGAAGTTCGTACTCATATGATTTAACTAAGATTTTTATATTTACCGTAACAAATATTATTTTTATTTATATGAATATTTATTAACCGATGCTTCCTACTCAAATAAATCACTCATCACAAAAATTTCAATGTTGACTTTTAACAATTTTAGTAATTTATTATCGTTTAAAAAATTCAAAATATAGCATATAAGAGAAAATTTAAATTTTGTATTATATCATTAATATGATTGTTTAATTTATTTTAAGAATATAAAATTAAAAACGATGGAAGATATAAAATTGTTATTATATCTTTATTATTCAAAATCATTAATTGTCATATATTTTTTAACCATATTAGACAATTTTGTAGCTTTTATTTAAAGAAATAATAGAGAATATTCTTTTATACATTACCAATTAATTGCATAGTTAATTTAATAAAAAAATTATACTATATATTGAGATGGACCAACTTATTTTTCTAAGAATTCTAAGAATCAACGTAATGATAACATGTGGCTACCAAAATATGTTATAATGCTCCAGAATTATTATATAAAATATATAAAATATATAGAATTCATATTAAAAAAAATCTTACGCATCGTAGAAAAACTCATTTTGAAAATTTGGCTCTTTTTGTAAATCACTTAATAAGATTCCAATGTTCGATCACTTTCAAGAGATAGTAGTATATAGTGTTTTATCTTTGATTTTGTATATTTTATGATCCGGATCGTCTATGTATATAATTAATCCTATGAAGTTACCATAAGGCCACACAATGAAATCTTTAATTCAAGTAATGATAAATTTACTAACTAATATCATAGCTACGATCTACTAGATAAGAGAAATGGCAACCTCGGTTAGTTTTGACATATATAACATTTTGAGCGAAGAAAAAATGTTATCTAGGAAGTTTTGTATAACCTAATAAGTCTTATAGCCAACCTATTTTGGAACTAGCAACGAATCCCTCTCTATACATTCAAATCCTGATCCAGTGAGATGATATAATTCTTCCCTAATCAACCTAGCTATCTTAAGAACAAATCTTCAATATATATTGTTTTAGAACTTAAATAAAATTGTTGAATTGGGAAATCTATAACCTATAAATACGGATTAACTACAAGTTATTTTGTTTTACCGGTTAGATTCCTAGCACTTATAAAACAAAAATCTATATTGGCTAATATCGTCAAGGAAAAGCATGGCTGCTTATAATTTTTTATATCGTTGATGAGATTTTGGTGATAAAAAAAAAGAATGAGAATAAAAGTGGACAAAACATCAACAAAAAGCAAAACTCTGCTCGTTCAAAAGACAGAACAGAACAAAAGCAGCGAAGTAAACGAATGCACAATTCCTTTCCTGTACTTTGAAGACTTTGACCTCTTTAATCATTGACCACGTTGAATCTGAGACTCCTCCTTACACGAGTGGTTTGGTTTAGTTCCATAGTATACTTCCATTCCTTCCCTCCATTGTTTTCATCTTCTTCTTGAAAAAAAAAATCGCCATCCAAATTTGTAAACCAAACTTTCAACTCTAATACTATAACTACTAGTTGCATACCCCCCGCGCAAGCGCGGAGCTGAGGATCAATGATGTTTATCTGTGTTTTTTTCGGTTGTTGGTTTAGTGGGTTATTCTAATAATACCAAACTAGATCATAACCCGCCCGACTGGGCGGGTATTTGTTTTTATGGTATATATAAACATTTCAAAAATTACAATCTAATGGTTCCAATTTGATTAAGTAATAGTACATTATTTAAACATTGTATTTCATCAGTGTATTGTGTAACAGGGGCGTCGCAAAATATTGTGACCCGTAAACATTTTATTAATAGTTTATAATTTTTTTTTTGCTAAATTTGGTGCAAAGTTATATACATTAAACAATTTATTCAAATTTTAAGTTAATTTTTTAATGAAGAATTGAAAGGCTAGTATATCACTGTTAAAAATTTATAACAATAGTCAATATAAATTATATAAATAAAATATATATTATTCTTGATTTATTTTAAATACATTTAAAACATGAATACATATANTGCTAAATTTGGTGCAAAGTTATATACATTAAACAATTTATTCAAATTTTAAGTTAATTTTTTAATGAAGAATTGAAAGGCTAGTATATCACTGTTAAAAATTTATAACAATAGTCAATATAAATTATATAAATAAAATATATATTATTCTTGATTTATTTTAAATACATTTAAAACATGAATACATATATGTATAAATCATTTTCAGAAATAAAATAATATCAATGATAGAAACCCAAAAACAATAATAATGATACTTTGGGCCGCAATAATCTTTAGTTTAATAAATAAGCCCATTAGATTTGTAGGCTATCCTTGTTTCCAATCATTATAATTTTAAATACCTATTCATGTTTCCAAACACTAATTTTTTGTACTTCAACTTTAATAGTATAGATAATGATGAAATGGAAAGAATGTAGCAAGAGAATAAAGTGAAAATATTATATATCTTTATATATAAAGAAGAGATTCACTCTCTTCTCCTTCACCCACCTCAGCAAATGATGTCACAAAATAGACTCTTTTATATTATGACATGTGTCCACGAAAGTTAAACAAAACAGATTGATACTTATTGGGCCTCGGCTTAATGTTTATTCGTTACCCCATCAGGTTCTTTGTATCTGTGATTCATAAGTCGATTAGGGTTTCTGAATCTTATCTCTCAGCCGTCGAGCTTTTCATTCTCCTAACTGATCAAACGCGATCGATTCATATACTCGGATCATCTTAACTCTGTCATTAGTCGCTCATGAGGTGATGTTACCTATAAAATGGTGACCTTCTCCGGTCTCGATCTCCATCCCAAAACTCTAAATCTCTGTAGAAAATTTCAGCTATGGTTAACATGACGGTTTTTTATCCGATCTCCAGGCCGGACGTTCCTCCTCAACCGTCCAAGTCCGGCTGCTTCGCTTCTGGGAAGCCAGGAACTTCCGCCGTGGTGGAGAGCTCATGGGTGTGGACATGCTCCTCTTGGATTTTTTAATCCCCTTCTGTTTTGTTTAATCGATTGGGTGCTGGAAAATCGTTTTATTTTACTATGATTTTAGGTGCTCGATTTATATATTATCTATCTGATTTTCTTTGATGTATAGATCTTATAAATATTTGGTTGATAATGAGTATTAGCATCCGTTAGTAGGTATTCTATGTTTGGTTTTACGATCTGGGATTAGTGGTCGAGTTATAATGTTTTTATCAGTATTGATTTCGTATCTGGTACAATTAGTCAAACATTCACGTTTTGGTTGTTTTAGATTATAGGTTTACATGACAGATTATTATGACTATCTCTGTTCTGATACAAGGCTATCTGTTTATATTGTCCATTTCACATTTAGATGATGTATAAAAAATGACATTTTTTGTTCGATTGGTTGCTGAGCTCCTATATAATTATTAGTTTAGTTTATTTTTATGGTTTGACATTAGTTTTTTTATAATATTTACCCTGTCTATTTTGTGATCATGTTCAAGTATCCAGTTTTTAGTAATCGTCTCAGTTTGTCTTAAGATTATGTTTAAGAATTAAAGTATGGCTTGTATGTTTTATTTATACGACCCCTGATATGTTACAAGGTTATCTGTACTATTTTAACCTTTTGACATTTATGTTATGTATAAACAATGACATTTTTGTTCGACTGACTGCTGATAATGGTTGTACGTATTGTTTAGATAATGGTTTACCTGTATTATTTGTTATAGTTGAGAGTTTTTTATGGTTTTATCTACTTGGTTTTATTACCATGTTCAACTGTTCACGTTTAATTATTTTACGTGTGTTCATTGTGTTTAGTCGACCATGGTGCCGGCCACTGTGCATGTGAACTGTCTCTCAGTTCATCAGCCGAATCTGGAAGCTGGTGCAGTTTACTCTCTTGCCGGTTTTGATGTGACCCGCTGTGGCCAGAACTATCGTCTCTCAGATTCTCCTCTTCTTATCCGCTTTAACGAGACTACTTCTTTTACTAAGATCGCTGAAACTTCTGCGCCAATTCCTCTTTAGTCATTCCGTTTCCGAAAATACAGCGAAATGCTCGGGTTGGCGAGCTCTAACACTCAACTCCCAGGTGATATAATCCTCAGTTTATTCTATGAGACATTTCATACTGAAATACGAGAAGTTTAACATAAATTTCATGCAGATCTTATTGGTGAGATCACCGCCGTGAAGAGCACGGTTACTGAGCCTCATCATGACAAGAACCGTGTTATGGTGACCATCAAGATGGAAAAGTAAGTGATTTGGCTTCATTTGTTTGTATAATAATATTTTTTTTTTCCGGAGAATAATAACAATTTTTTTTTATCATGCAATGACACGTCTGTGACTATGAGCCTATTTGACTCTCAGGCTGTTAGCATCCATAAGCAGCTGGAGAGGATGGTAGTTGATCCTAGAGTTATCGTTGCAACCAGTGTGAATCCAAAAATGGTTGGAGGTAGGCAAAAAAATAACTTAATTGTAAATTTTTCGTCATGTTGCAGTCTTAAATGTATAATACTGAAAATGCAGGTCGGCTCTTTTTAAACGCCACGTCTGGGACACATATCTATTTCGACAAGGAAACGAGTGCAGGGGAACAGTTGTTTTACAAGTTAGTATCTGTTACTCATTATTTTACAACCTTATTTAGTAATACTAATTACACTTACTGATATTGTTCGGATATGCATAGGTTGGTGGAACATGAAACTGGCCTAAAACCAGTAGCTACGCTATTTAAGAGTTATTCTAAGGTGGAAAAGATCAGTATATCTGAGCTAAATGATTTTGTCTTGACCGCTGCATCTCAGGTATGTTATCAAGCATTTTAACACGTGCCAGCTGTGTCGTGTCACATCTGATGCCTTTTTGTGTTGCACCGTGCAGGAGGCTGATTTTATTTGTGCCGGTGAAGTCACTGGCATCAAGTTCGACAAGGGATGGTGCTATGTCTCATGTTCGAAGTGTTTCAAGAAACTCCAGCGCTCTGATTCATCATTGGCGTGTTCGCCTTGCAACAACACCAATGCAGTTGGCGTCCTCCGGTATCTGTCTGCTCTAATTAGCTTAGAATTTTACGACTAACCTAGCATATCATGATAATATAGATATTCGGTCCGTAGGTACCGTGTGGAGATGTCAATTGCAGACAAAACTGGAGAAGGGTTGTTTGTTGGATTCGATGGGGTGATGCCGAAGCTCTTCAACATGAGGGCCCAAGATGCTGCCAATGTATTGGTACGTCTCTATCAACCATAGATTTTTGTGTATATTCTTATTAGTAAATGAGTTTAGTCTGATACCCTTAGTGTCTTCTAAAAGTATAATATATGAAGATAATATATTTGACACATTATACTATGAGTCGTTCATTGGTCATAATTCTATTTCAGTTGTGATTCTGTTTGAAATCTCATGCTATAATGTTATTAATTACATTCAGGCCGGTGGGGGTGACAAACCAGAGGAGACTGACTTCCCTCAATTTGTCAAAGATATGGTGGGAAAGTCGTTCACATTTCAAGTGTAAGTAGGACCATACAACTTCACTTCAAACCATCAGAACTTCACTATCACCAGGGTTCTCCGCGAGGGTGAACGTGAGCCACACCCTGATTTTGTTGATGATGTAAGTGTAAATCATGTCTTATGCCATTAATATAAAATACATGATTTAACATGATAATGTTTGTTAGGGTGATGATGGTGACAAGGACGATGCAGGTCACAGTGATGACTGTGTGAGAAGTGAATGGAAGTTGGTGGAGGTAGCAAGAGTGGAGGATCTGCTACTGTGATTAGGCCGGTGAAGAAGGCACGGAAGGTGTAGTGCGAATGGCAAGGGATTTGCTCTCTTAATAATATCGAGTTGATTCTGATTTTGAACTATTATGCATTTTGTTTTTTTTTGAACCTTCTCAACGTTGAGTTTTATTTATCTGATGGACAAAGTGTGCGTTTCTGAGTTTCAGTTTTCCAATGAAATTGCTACTTTATATGCCATATAACCATTTAGTTTTATAGTTCAGAACTTTCCATTAGTGTTCTTTTCTTAAAATTTTGTGCGCATATAGTTTTATATAAAAGATGTGTATATGAATGGGGTTTGTAAACATATCAACTGTTGTAGTATAAAAACATGAGATGATGATGGAATGACAAAACATAAATGAGATGAATAATTGATTATTTTTTAAAAAAAACTTAAACTATTACCAATCACGGACAGAATACTATTTGTTTATGAGATGCCATACATAGCAAAAAATTTGCTACTACCGAATATGTCATTTTACACATCTAAAAAAGATCAACTAAAAGACTCTGAGTTACACACGATATTTTTTGCGTTTTTTTTGGTCCTTAAAGAAAGCAAGCAAGCAATGGATGTGCTAATCTCGCAGCTGTATGTGGAGAATTGTTACATCATGATAGAGAATGCGAGACTAATGAAGGAAGCTGAGCGTCTGAACCAACAAAATCAACATCTTCTTCTTCAAATAATACAAAAAAGCTCACGAATATTAAACTTATAATATTAAACCATATGGTATATGAAATAAGTTTCAAATTTTAAAATATACAATAAGCACACAAAAAAAAACATTATGTTACACACTATACCATCCGTATATATCACACATAAACAAGCACACTAATAAACAACAAAATAAAATATAAATGGTCCAAGACTAAAAATATAAAAAAAAAACTAAAAAAAACGCTGAAAGGCGAACAAAAAATAAATTGACAGATAAAAAATGGAATAAAAATGTCTACAAAGAAATCACATCCCGCGCGTAGCGCGGACCTCCCCTAGTATATATATATAATGTGTTAAATGATATTTATATGTGAAGTAAGGTTTATAGGAATAACGAAATTATAATATAGTTTCTAGTGTATAATAATAGGTGTCTATCTTGTTTTTTTTATTGGAAATAGTTTTTATATCAGAGGTCAAAACTTGATATAACTATTTATATATAGTTTTTATATCAGAGGTCAAAACTTGATATAACTATTTATATATAGTATTTATATTTATACTAAACGATTTATCAATTTGAAAATAACTTTAATTTAAGCTAATATTTGTTGTTTGGGTTTCAATAGATAGGTTTGGATATGTTTTTTTTTGTAAGTTTGGATTTGGTTTATGAATAATATTACATTTTTATTTACGGCGTCATCGATTGTGGAAATCCATTCGCCGGAGTCTGATAAAAATGAAATTATAGTAACTATTAAAAATGAAGAGAAATTACATAGTTATTTTATAGATAACAAAAAATGCTTAATTTTGTTGTTTTATTTTATTTCACATACATAATTTTTTGAAAATATATATTAGAAAATATCTTCTAACATAAATATATATATTAGGACATGATAGTACCGCGTGAGACTCGTTTTATTTTTAGGGATGAAATGGAAATAATGTAGCAAGAGTGTAAAGTGAAAATATTGTATATATAATGTGTTAAATGTTATTTATATGCGAAGTAAGATTTATTGGAATAACTAAATTATAATATAGTTTCTAGTGTATAATAATAAGTGTCTATATTGTTTTTTATGTTTTTATGTTGGAAACAGTTTTTATATCGGAGGTCAAAACTTGATATAATTATTTATTTATAGTACTTATATTTGTACTAAACGATTTATCAATTTGAAAATAACTTTAGTTTAAGCTAATATTTGTTGTTTGGATTCAGTAGATAGGTTTGGATATGTTTTTTTGTAAGTTTGGATTTTGTTCATGAATAATGTGGCATTTTTATTTATGGCGTCATCGAGTGTGGAAATCCATTCGCTGGAGTCTGATAAAAATGAAATTGTAGTAACTATTAAAAATTGAGAGAAATTACATAGTTATTTTATAAATAAAAAATACTTAAATTTTATTTCACATACATAATTTTTTGAAAATATATATTAGAAAATATGTTCTAACAGAAAATATATATTAGGACATGATAGTGCCACGTGGGACTCATTTTGTTTTTGTTTTTTGGACTGTTCGTTTTTTGATCCTTTTTAATTGTTTTTGGGTTTGAATTCGTCAAACTTTAGGATTTTTCTCACTATTTTTCGTTTTAAACAATAAGTCCAGAGGAAAAAAAACATTAAAACATTAAAACTAAAAAACCCATATGATAATAATTCAAAAAAAAACTAAAATACATAACAGCTACGCGGTTTGAACCCACACACTTGTGTACTTCATTAGATGTCTTATACCACTGGGCTAAAGTATATTCATTGTTCATATTCATTTTAAACAAACTCTAAGCTTTTAAAATTTAAATGTGCGGGACCAACAAACTTGCTGACGTGTACAGCTTTAGGAGCTTTGAAAGTATATCATTATAATATAGATTTGTGAAACGAAATAAGTAATAGAGTTAAAGTTTGTTTTACAATTTTTTTTTTCTCTCTTTGTGGTATAATTATGTGTCTTTGACCTTTTAGGTTAGTTAAGTCCACTAGGTCTACATACACATTTGCTCAATTACGGATGTGCACAGATCGAATATTACCATAGTTTACGGATATTTGCTTTTCCGACTTGAGAGAAAAACAAATATCTTCAGATATTTGTGAATATTTACAGATATTTAAGAATATCTCATGCACTTTATTTAATACAAATTATCTAAAAGAAATAATAAAAAATTGTTTTCCAAAAATATGTTTACAAAATAAACAATAAAAACTAGTGAAACTATTTTTTCGATAAATTTTTAAATTGATATTTTTTCAATAAACACACAACATTTAGAAAAATTGTAGTTTATATAAAGATTTGGTATTACATTCTTAATTTAATGCCTTTATAAGTAATTTATAAATAAAATTACTAAAATGATATGTTAAAATAATAATTATATACAATTATACATTTAAAATTGTATATATATATATTTGTAAGAAGACGGAACGAATCGAATATCCGACCCTAGATTTTTTAGTATATGTGTGATTTGGCTTGTTTTTAACAAATATTGACTTTTAATATTTATTTTGCTTCGATGACTTAGAAATATTCGATTTTTTTAGATCTAATCGAAATGAATAACAAATCGAATCAAATTTAACAAATAAAATAATCAGCCCTAAAAATACATTGAACTTTACTAATTAGAACAAAAAGACCAGCAACATGTGTCTTCTATTATATGTTTCCGTGGTTAGAAAAATATTAATAATGTTATTCTTAATTTATCTTTGTATTTTTGGAGGTGGTCTAATGCTTTTTTAATTTTGTGCCTACATTCATTTAATATTACGACCGAGTATGAACACCAAAGACTAATCCTAAATCTTATATTCCACTCTTGCACATTGTGTTACTTTTCTTCGATATCCGACATCATGTTTTATTCCTAATTTAGTAGTTTGTTTTCTTACGTTGGTAGATGCAAAGGCTACCTTTTGAAAAAATAATATAGAAACTTTTTTTTTTGTAACTGATAATACTATATAGAAACTTCATTGCGTATTTACTATACTTCTTCAACGAATTTGGAACTGACTTATGTTTGATAGTGAAAAGCGAAACTATACATTCCCATTAAATAAATCCATGTGTATCCACATACAGACATGTTTAAATTAGAATCTTTTAGCCATCAGAGCAATAGTGTGTTAGAGCATCTCCAATGTATTACTCTATTTTTTACTCTAAAATGGAGTAACTTCAAAATGCAGTTGAGTTTTACTCCAATGTATTACACCATTTTCTACTCCAAAATAATATTTTTAATATTATATTTATTTCAAAATTAGGAATATCACCTTTCATTTATATTATTTACAAAACAGTCCATTTTAAATTTATAGCATTTCTATTAAATACAATATTAACCACAATTAAATTTTTATTATATAAATAAAATTACTCAACAAGGTTTTAAAGAATACATTTAATACATTAAAAAATTACATTATATAGCTTAAACACAATAATACATCAATTCCAAATTATTCATTAGAATTATAATAATTTTCCCACAAATGATCAACTAATGCATTTCGAAATAAAAAAATGAGCTTCTTTATCTTTGATTTCTCTAAAATGAGAAAGAAACTTTTGGAACCTCACATTATTATTTTCTTCAATTTCAATTTTCCTTGACATGACTTCTCTTTCAACTTCAATTGGCACCTCGAGATCACAATCATCTTCTATTATCATGTTATGTAAGAATTTAATAATATTTTATCGGATTATTTAATTTTAATGGATCCGAAAATGATTTATCGGATTATTAAGA